AGGAAGAATGCACAGACTCCAAGTGGTAAATAATCTGAATTTAGGGGGGGGAAAAAACCAACCCACAACCAAACAAAAAAAGAAACAAGCCAACTTCAAATCATTGTTTATCAACCTGGCATATTCAATAAATCATAGTTAAGATTATCAAAATTAGAATGGTAAACCACTTCTGAGTGCTCTCTACCGAGAAAACCCTGAAAAAGGTTGCCACGAGTCAGAATTGATTTAATAGCACATGATGATTATTATGGGTTGGCGAAAACCACACAGAAAGCAGAAAGATTAACAGAAAGCAGAAGCAAATGTTCATGCTTGCACCTTCATGGTGGCATCAGAGGACAATGGAGTGTGTACACACACATACACACACCTGGTACCTTACCTGATTTAAGTGCAGTGTTGAGTACAGTTGCCACCAAAGCTGCAATAATGATCAAAGTATCAAACCTAGGAAAAATGATTAAAGATTTAATAAAAGGAGCATGACTACACTTTAAATCACCTGCCTACTGTAAGGTGGTATGATAGGTCAGTCTCACAACATGGATGTCATAGTGTGAGGGTTGACTCCTTCCACAACCTAACTTCCATGATGGACATTGCTGGTCATAAAACTGCTCAGGTTTAAAGAAAAATAAACTTGCCCTCGAGAAGTGAGTCTAAGGTCCAAAAACAAAACTACTCTTTTGAGACCAGTTTTGTCCTCAGAAGAGACAAACTGAAAAGATTAACAAAGAAGTTAGTCTAGTCAAGAAATGGAAGTACAGTGGCGCCTCAACTTACGAATGCCCCTTCCCACGAACATTTCGACTTACAAACAGCTTCGGTCACAAAATTTTGCTTTGACTTGCGAATGGAGCTTCAAATTACGAACAGAAAAAACCATGGGGAAGGTGGGTGTGGCAGAACCCCCACGTCACACCTGTCCATCATGGTGAGCTCAAGGGCAGGAGCCTATGAGAGGACAGGAGGGGCGGAACCAAAAGAACAGTTAGAGAGTTGGTTAGGCAGTTAGAGAGTGGAGTTGGAGAAAAGAAGTTGGAGATATGAAATTGAAGAGAGAGAGTTAGGAGACTGAATTGAGAAAGTTAAAACAGATATTGGAAAGCTGGAATGCTAGAGAGAATAGGGAAAGAGTTCAAAAGTATAGAGAATACATAGATAGTCAAAGAATATTGTAACAGTGAAGAAATACACTTACAAACCAACATGAAAGCAAATAATATTTAATGAATAATCCTAAACATGTGATTTTCGAATGTGATTTGCATAACAACTATAAGATCAATAAATCTGTTGTATTGGCAGCACGTGTCCAAGATCTATCTCTTTGGTACTGAGGGAATAATACCTGGTGGCAGTGTGAAGTGAGGAAATGCATCCAGAGGGTGGACTTGTGTTTAGGGAAAATAAACAAAGGACACTGGGTGGACGCGACAGTGGGGAAAGCGGGAAATTTGAACTTTCAGTTAACTGTTGGCCAGCAAAGAAGCTGCTTGTCTGCTACCTCACTCGCCCCAGTGGTTAGAGAGTGTGGATACGGAGACTTCAGACTGCCTAATACTGTACTGCCGGGTAGTGTACTGTACGTACTGTATTTTTTTGGTTTTTTAATTTTTATTTTTTTAATTTTTGACTTTTTTAAAACAGAGAGATTGCCTGTTCTGGGTGGGTATACTGTATTTACTGTACAGTGCTGGTTGTTGTGCTCTAAAATGGAGTTTAGATTCAAGTCTCCCTGCCCGCCAGATTGTCTTCTTCTTCTCTCTCTCTCTCTCTCTGCTCCCCAGGCGCTTGGTT